ATTTGAAGAATTGGATTGATATAATTAGGAACTGCCAGCTCTCGATGTACAACTTCTTGTTGGACTTCAGTGGCTGTCATATCACCAAAGTCACCAACTTGGACACTCTCTAGATAATCAATCATTGCTTTGAGAAACTCTGAATCATTGCTCATGATACGATCTCGAATCTCTTGAGGTGAGAGACAGCTTTTAATCCAAATTAGAATATGTAAATGAAGTGTCAATCGACCTTGTTGCTCTACACTTCCATAATATCCAGCAGTGGGACCAAATAGTCCATCATGATTGCTTCCAACTCCCAAGACATGTTTAATGAAAGCTTTAACCATAAAGTTGAAGAACCGTGCAGCTGCTGTGGGATTCATTGAGACAAGCTTCTTTCGAGCATTTTCAGGCAATATATCAGTTGAGAACTCAAACTTTTGTCCAGCAAAATAGATGCACATTGGATGATTCTGATCTGCTGGAGATATTGTAATAAACCATGAAGGAGATCCAAGCTTTGAAATTAAAGACCAAACTTCATTGCGCATGTACTTTTTTGAAGTTATTGATCCCTTGACTTTTCCAGCTACAGTGTCTAGATCATTGAGGAGGGCATAGCAATCTTTCTCTGCTTGAGTCTTAGGTTTGACTTGTTCACCTGCTTGTAAGCGACGACTGATATCTTGCAGAACATTTACATCTAAATTATAAATCCTCTCTGCAATTTGAGTAATCTCTTTTTTCTGAGTTAAGACATATCCACCTTGATTTGCTTCTTTCATTTGCTCCATGTTCAGTGCAATGAGCGGGAAGAGACCATCAAGCTGGAATCGCTTGTCATAATACATCAAGAGATATCCCTTGTGGGCCATGCTTGACATTTTTCCCTCATGTAAAGGATTGCAAATACCTCCATATCCATAAGGAAACAAATGTGGAAACATTTGTGGAAATAGTTGTGGATTATGAAATGTATCCTGTGGTTTTGAATCTTGGCCAATAAACAAGATATTTTTCTTTCCCTTCTTGAGATGCTCCAAAGCTGCTGCTTTTCTTTGTGATCTAGTCATACCAGAAAAATCTTCACCAGTCAATCCATGAACCATGAATGGGCAAGGTCCACTATCAGTTCCTTCATCTTCTTCATTGTCATGAGTTGCTGTTGAAATTGGATCTTTATTGGTACATAATTCTTCATAGTCATAGCCAACAGGGACTCCATCATTTTGATAACTTTGAAGGTTGACATCTGAGATTGTGATATCTTGATAGTCTGAGTGGTTCAATCGAAGCCATTCAAGTGCATCCTTGACTTTAGCAAGACGAGCAAGCAGTGGTGTGCGCTTCAAGTCCTCTTTAGTAGGTTGACAGGGTCCAGTGTACATGAAAGCTATCATTTCATCAAGTTCCTCATGAGCAGGAGGTAGAATATTATAAACTTTCTGGATTGGATTTGAAAAGCAAATAACATTTGCTCTCATTTTGAATCTCCAGCTTGATGAAACTTTAATGACACAATAGCTATGTCGAACTCGAGCAATCATTAACTTTTCCATCACTGTCAAATCCTTCAAGGCATCAGGAATTTCACCTAGCCAAAGTCCATTCACAAGAGACATAGCTGGAATCTTGTCTTTACAAACTGACTTGAGACAGGTTGCACAAATGCTATCACATCCAGGAGCCAAAGTGGGGCCTTCAAGATCACAAATATCATCATCTGCACTAAATCGCTCTTTTCGAGTAGCTCCATCTCGATATAACCAACTCAGATCTAGTCCAGTCTTTGATATTTTTGTCAAGTCTTTTATTGGCCATAATCGAGCACATACCGCACAACCAGTTTCAACAAACTGTGAAGGGTGTGTGTCCTCACAAAATCCAGTAATGATCTTCTGTATCAAGCTTGAATTTGGCGGGCTTGGCGGAAATTGAACTGGCTCTTCATCAGGGACTTTGTCAATGGTAGTGGCATGACTGGATCTCTGATGCACCTTTTGTTGGTAGTAAATCTTATTTTGAGAAGCCCTTTTCTCTGCTGCCATTGGTTTGGACCTTTGTGTCTTATTTCGGTCTCCAATGCTTTTAACTTGACTTGGTTGAAAGATGATGCATGGATCAGAACACATATTGTCACACATTTCATGATCTTGTATCTGATTTAACAAAGATTCCTTTGTAGATCTAGCAACCATTGCTATATTGTGAAATTCACCCAAGTTTCTAAGGGCAGAAACAGGAAGTCTCGCTATTAGTGAACTCGAGAGTGGAATCTGACAAATCAAGTGTCCATCCTTCAAAGTAGTGTCTTCAATGTTCATTGACCTTTGAACTGCAATAACCGTGTACTTAGTATTATAAGTACTCGCTGTCAACATATTTCCAGGAACAACAAATGGTTTTAGCTCATAACTAGTGAATTGGATACTTCCACCACCACTAGTGGACTGGCCTTGTGCATATATATCCTTGTCTAGCAGCTGCTTTAGATGTACAGGGACATGATACTTTGGAATCACTTGAATTGAATTTTCAAGTTGATAGCGGATCCATTTCTTACTCGCAAATAGTACATTTTGCAATGGTGAACTTGAATTGATGCAAACCAATTTTCTAAGCAGACATTTGAAATCATGCCGTCGATAACACGACCGTCTACATAACAAGCTTGATGTCTCGGCTTCATTTGGTACATTGGGAGGCAATATAACCATCCAGATAGTGCGGCAATTTGACTTATAATGGGTCTTTAAACGGCACAGCTCCTCAATAATTCTGGCGGCTTTAAAATCTGTATCTTCATAAATTTGGCCACTATGATGTTGATACTCTAACAATATGTTTGGTGTGATCAACATGTCAAATTCGAAGCTATAATTGATGTTACAATTGCAATTCTGCACTATTTGGACCATGTATCGTTTGAACTCTAGTTTCACGTGTAAACTCAGGCTCCAATCAGAAGTGATTGCTTTATTCTTGCGACTGTATTCGGACACATCGGCCTTCCAGCTGTGTTCTACTATGTTGTCTTTCGGTACTTTGGGAATGACCAAGCACATGCTACTAGGTTTGGAGCTGGCCAGGCTCACTACTATTTGTCCCATGGCAAAGACATTACGCTCAAGATATGCAGTGTCAACGTGTCCGCAATCAGAACTTCGCTCTCTTTTATAACCAATTGGTCTCTGTGCTATTTTATAGTTGCAACTTTTTACTTTTCTATGGCTGACCAGGCACGCACTAGTAATTCTGGAGCTGGCCAGGCTCCTTGCTATTATCTGTTCCTGGGCCGGGACACGACGCTCAACATGGTCAATGTCGGCTGGTCCACAATTGGAACGGTGGCTGACCAGGCGCGCACTAGTGGGTTGGGAGCTGGCCAGGCTCACCGCTACTTGTTCTATTTGTCCCTGGGCCTGGACACAACGCTCGACATGGTCAGTGTCAGCTGGTCCGCAAGTGGAACTGTGCAATACTGGTTTTACATCCCAACGATGGTTGTCAGCTGCGCAACAAGGTTTATAGTCCCCTAGACTTTCTACAGGTTTAGCGTCCCAACGACGATATAGTAGTCCAGCGCCACAAGGACATATGAAACCAGCGCCACAGGGACGCAGTTCAAAGTCTCGAACATTTGCTCTGCAAAGTTTCGTTAGAAATGCTGTCAAAATAGATAGATCAACGTAATGAGAATCAAAGCAAAAGAGGAAGAAAGAAAGAAAGAAATGGAGGATATTGCACCAGGGACCAGTCAGCGGTGCAGCAAGAATTTGAACCGAAATCAGAATAAATGATCAAGACGAAGGTGAAAGAAACAGGCGTGACGATGTTGACAGCCAACATGGAAGACAAACAAACAACAGGTGAAAGCAACCGAGGCGAACATGATGACGAAACTGCACTGAAGAAGACATAAAGAAAAAAGAAAAGAGGGACCCAAGACCAAAGAGCAACTGAACAACAATGAAAGAACATGGACCAGCGCCGAACACGATAGAGAAGCCAATGAAACAAGAAAGAAATCAGGAGGAAATCCAAACGACGTTGTAAAGAAAATGACAGCGAAAGCAAAAGTAAAGCCCAAAGAAAGCAGATCAACAAAGAAACAGCAACGAAGAAACACTGGACAGGTCATCTACGCCACAAGGGCGGTCATCAACAGCTTCACGGCGGTCTGAAAACAATGGAGAGTGGTTGAATGAAATTCGAGCACGAAACTTGAATGGACGACTTCATTTGTTACCGCTGAAGGAGGAAATGGAGGAAGGAGTTGACTGGACAGGGAATTGGTAGCAAGGAAAACATAACAGGAGCACGAGGAAATGAGCAGGAAGGAATCCGGGCAGAAAGGGTTGATGACCGAGAGTACAGACATACCTTCTGTGGCACCTCTCTCTTCCAGTCCGAATCTATAGAAGATAGAGGTCCGTCGGTGCTCCCATTTGACGGAGGTGAAGAGCGATGATCTGTTGTTCGTTCGAAGTCAATCATTTCATGAGGAAAACGTCCCGACCCACCAGCTAGCTACATTATTTCGACCGCCTTGCGCCTCAGGCGCCGCATCATTTCGAGGTCGTGAAGGAGAACCGAGATGGCTTCAATTCCATCTCGCTTGCGATGTGGCCAGCAATTTGCTGCGAAGGTCAGCATGAATGATTGTAAATGAACAAGAAAAGTAGCATACCTGGAACGGATTCGGTGCTCGATAGTCTGGGACAGGCTCAGACTGAGACTCTTTTGCGGGAGCGAATGATGGTAAAATAATGGCTGTGACCATGAGAGCGGTTGCCAGCGAAGCAGTCACGTGTATATCCCCTTTGGGGACTTTGATGATGGGATCCTTAAAATCGCTGGGTCCCAACAAACGAGCCACAAGTGGCCTCGTAATGAAGTCGCTTGATGCGAGCCCAAGAATCCTCGTTTTTGGTCATATACGGAGTCTGAGGTAACTGTGGCTGTGTCAAAGGTGCATCTCATGGCTTGATGACGTTTCTGTAACCAATGTTTATGCGTTGATGGTGTAGTGGTTGCACAGCCAGATCAAAGACTTCTCTGGCTTGCCCTGGTTCGATTCCAGGTCGATGCCTGGAGTAATGGGATTCCATCTTTTTGAATCTTGGATGTCCGTCTCCCGGAGTTCGCGAGAACTGACACTTGAGCTAAATCAGCAATGCAACCTATTTATTCACTTGATTGGCACGTCTCTGAGACGACAAAGTCGCTCGATGCAAGCCCGAAATCAAATTTGAATAGCGTCAACGCGAGGCGCTCACCAGAACGTCGGTGATCGCTCCGACCTGATCACCGTGCCTCGTCAAATCAAATGCCACACAAACTCGGTGCTTGGAATGCCGTGTCGAGATACGTATTGTCGAGTCAGCTTGCTCAAATACCAGACACACTTCTGAACTCACATTGCGCCGCAGAACTGAATAAGGCGACCGAGCTGCGAAAGCTATCAAGTAAAATATCGCATTCTGTCAAACGAAGACGATAGCGAAATCGTCCGAGTGCAAATGATCAAACTCGACCGGGAATCGTGAAAACACATCCGGAGCCGGGGTCTCGAGCACAGTATCAATCACAGGTTCCTCTTCCTCTTCTTCCTCAATCTCTCCTTCCGATACCGGTTCTCCTGCTTCGATCTTTCTCTCTCGCTCCCACCGACGCTCCCACCTAGCCCATTTTCTCTCCTCCTTTGCAATCTCAAACGGATCCCAAACGATTTCATCAATCGTCAAAATGTCACAAACCTCGAAGATATTGGGCGCTGCATCGTAAACCTTGGTGTGCTCTTCCACCCGCTCTACCGTGACCTTTTGGAACTTCTGTCCCCGGGGTTTACCTATAACATTCATATCCCGATAGCGAGTCAAGTACTTGACAAGACGACTGTATCGGTGGAGCTGCAGATCGTCAGCCACCGAACGGGTCTTTTCTGAGAATTGCGCAGGGTCTACTGAAGCTGCAATTCGAAGATTGTGCAATGTTGGAGGAGATGGGTGGAGCTTTCTGTATCGTGAACTTCGGAGATAGCGCCAGGCCTTCAATGCCAATAACAGACCCCTCAGCAGCGGAATCAGCCCCTCGTTACAACCGATCTGAACCTCCATTGGAATAGAAAGTTCTTCAAAGATGGTTCTCCAAGTGTATTCGGTGACCTGTGAAAAGTTCATGATGGCGGTGGCGTCTATGGAGAGACCCGAAGGGTCAAAGGGGAGGGTTCGCAAGAGACTTCGCGCAAGACGATGCAATTCCTTCTTTGTTAACCGATAGACGGTCAGGGAGAAAACTGCGTCGTCTCGATAGAAAACTGGAGATGGGCAAATGGTTTCTGTGTCGGCGTTGAAGGTGAAAGACCTTCCTCCATGGTCGGTAAAGGCCGAGGAGCGCAATGTTGGGGCTCCAGGTAATCTGAAGTGTCGCAAAAGGAGGAGGAAGATTGCACTGAAATCGATTGGCCGCAAGGTCAGCTGCAACCTTGTCGAGGCCGGTATTGTGAGGTTTTCGAAGATCTGTGCGGCCATGCCTTGGTCTAGATTGAGACAGAGCGCGGCCAGCTCCGGTAGCGCCACGGACGAGAAGCAGTTCTCTAGTGGATCTTCGGAGCGTCTGATATACTTGACAAGCTTCAATTTTTGGATCCTTGGTGACTTTTCAAGGGCGTTTGCCAGGTCCTTCATCGTCGGCATGGCTCCGATGACGGTTCCGTAGCACTCCAGGACGAGTTTCGTGAGATTCTCTAGGAGATTGAAGTTGTCAATGCTCGGAAACTGTGCATTCGATAGAATCAGCGAGCGGTATCTGAACGCTACGTCCTGAAGGAGAAAGCTGGGGAGCGTCCAAGCTTGGTTGGAGCAGCGGACGGTGAGCTCCTCAAGGATTGGTAGCCCCTTCTCGACACCGGGAGTCGAAAACAATGCTTCTATCTCTGCTGCTTGACCGCTGACATGCAGCCTGTGGATTCGGTGCAAACATCTCAGCAGAATCTGTCCATTCAACGGATTATCCTTGAACAGTTCCATTTTGCAGGACACGGGATGTTCGGCGGATCGTTTGACCCATCTCAATGCACGAGTGAGGGAAGAAGAAGAGAGGTGGGTGTGTATGAATGACCAAAGTTTGGGATTGTTCATGCAGAGGTCGGCCCAGCGCCTGCAGACAAACAATATCTTTGTCCATTTTCCTTCCCAAGGGTCGGAAAGCAGGACGTATTCAAAGAATATTTGTCCGAGAATGACGTCGGGAAGGATGGATATCGTAGCAATGGTGTTTCGGTATCGCTTCAGTTTCAGGACCTGGTCGAGAAGCAACGATATGCGTCGGTCCACGAGCACTCGAATGTCATCTCGATGTCTGGAAGAAGCGGGTCAGCGACGGGTCTACGTGGATGCAGCTGTACAAACTCTTTGGATTCTAAAGGACTGAAATCGTCCAAAGCGATGAGGGGCATGTGGTCCTCAAGGACTTGAGCCACATATTTCAGTGATTCTTGTGCGGTAGACATGTAGAAATTTAACTGCGAATAAACAAGGTCATTCGTGGTCAGCCTGGACTATTGTTCTGAACTCACTGGGCGGTGGAAAAATGACGCGTAGCACAGCCACCGGAAACGGGGAGTATATTGATCCGTAGCACGTGAGGTCCGGTGACAAAAAGCAATTTGGATTTAACGATCTTGACCGCAACCACCATGGCTCATTCGCTGTCTTGCCCCAGCTGTGGAGACAATCTCCATAATATCAACCGAAGCCTGGAATTCGTCTTGCATGGTCCTCGATATCATGAGCTCCTTGCCTCGAATGCCATTCCTTCAGCGACCGAATTAGCGACCCTCTCGACTGTTGTCGCTAACGGCTCGGATCTGATTGCAGACCTGGAAACCAAGATTTCTCAGGTGAGAAATCTGTTGGCCTCTTTGATGATTTCCAAGGAAAGGGCGCAAGAGATGGTGAAGGAATGCAAAACCATTGTTCATCCGGTCCGTCGGCTTCCTCGGGACATTCTCCTCGAGATCTTCGCGACTGCGTCGATCACCGACGACGACAGCGTATGGGAAACCTCTTTCCCGCATTCAGCCAACCGAAAACCTCTCGATTCACTCACTACTCGTAAAGCGCTATGGGGTATGCAGTCGATGGCGAAAAGAGGCTATCACGTTTTCACGACTATGTCTTCCATCAGCGTCTCCTTTCTCCACGAGTATTTTGACCGCCGTAAACTCCTTTCGCGCCTGAGCATCCAGCTACAAAGAGCCGCCAATTCGCAGCTCGAGGTCGCCATTGTCAGCATCATCGCCCGAACCACATTCCTTGACAAATGTTTGCCCATTGTCTAGCTGCTATTACCCTCATCATCCCGCTGGACCCGGCTTCATTTCCGTGCTGGTTTCACCGACTTTATATCACAGCTCCAAGGCTTTCTGCCTCTGCTTCGAGTTCTCTATCTCTCTATCGACCAAACGAATCCATGTCCTCATCAATCCTTCGACGTCTTTCGTGAAGCTCCTCAGCTTCGCACCTTGGTGGGTGTAGCACTACCCTTGCGCTTTTCCGGTTTCCATGGCAGAACGTCAAAGAGTGGAGATTGTTGAAACGAGGAGAGAATGGTTCGCGTCCATCGCAGATTCTGCAGTTGATGGAAAGAGCTATGGCGCTGGAGAGCTGCGAAGTTATATCAAGAGCAGTGGGACGGGCTGGGACGCATCCGTTGACTATGGATAAACTAAAGGTGGCTTCGTTCGATGGAGATGGGACAGCACAAGTTCTCGAGTTTCTACGACTCCCGGTCATCGAAGACCTTACAATCATGTCGGGGCTCGATAATGTCGAGGTGCTCGTCGGAGTCCTCGAACAATCTGGGGGAGGAAGATCGCTCAAGTCTTTGAGGCTGGATTCGCGCCATTTGAAAGCATCACAGGCCCTGGAAATGTTGCGATCTATGCCTTGTCTAGAGAGCCTGGATCTCCGCACTGACGAGGGCTTTACTGATACCTTTTTAGGGAGTTTTTCCGAAGAGACGATGGTGGTTGTCTTGTGCCACAGTTGAAGGAATTGGTGGTCAAAGGACCGCTTTGGGATAAATTGGACGTCATTGACCAGCTTAGCCTAGACCGTGACTTGATCATTCAGACCTCATCGGACGATCCTTTCCGCCATACTTTTATCGACCTCGATGAGACGACTGGGTTAGTACATTTCCAGCCGGTCAATCCGATGCTGAATGTCCCTTTTCTAGATCTTGAACATCATGCCTGATCAAATGGTAGCGCTGGTCGCAATTCGCAATATTGCTGTAAATCGAACATGCAAGTTAGTTCAATTCAGCGCAACGTACAGTACCCCAAAGTGAAATCCTATACACCATGTAACCCGAAATGAAATCACCGACCAGGCGACCGCGGCGGTCGCTCTTCTACTTGTCTTTGCTACCTCGGTTTCATGTGAGAGTAAATCTCATCCAGCGTATTTTTGTAGTCTTCTTCGACAGCCTTGCGTCTGAAAGATTCCAGTCAGAACGATAGAACATCTTCATATGAGCAGCAGATACCTTATATTTCCCTTTTCCTGAATCAAATGTCAGCTTCGAGAATCACTGAAACTAATAAATGACTTACGGCAGTGCGCGCTAAGCTCCCAGAAGCCGCAATGACGATCTGGACGGGATCCGTGATGCGTTCGTGGGCGTACAATTTGGATGAAAACTCGGCAGTACGCTGTAGAATCTCGGTCTTCAAAGACTCAGCCTGCGTCTCGGGATCGAATGGCAGCACTGGTTCGACGAACAGAACGACACCGGGCTTGTAATGTCCTACGACAGCACAATTTTTGACAACGTCGGCACAGACACGAAGGATATTATCTTCGATTGATCTGCATAACGTCAGTTCGTGAAAAGAATGATAAGACAAGAGGAGAAATCTCACTTTGTATCACAAAATGAAAGATCCTTTCCCGTACGGATCCAGTCGTCACTTCGACCTCGAAATGCGTAGTAACCTGGTTGCACCTCTTCGAACAGATCGCCAGTAACATGACCATCAGGCCGGTTTCGTATCCAAGGGTGAGGACAGTTATCTGCATATTC